TATATATATATATATATATATATATATATATATATATATATATATATATATATATATATATATATATATATATATATATATATATATATATATATATATATATATATATATATATATATATATATATATATATATATATATATATATATATATATATATATATATATATATATATATATATAGCAGTATATATATATATATATATATATATATATATATATATATATATATATATATATATATATATATATGAGACGCATACATAGTAGCCGGATGGGGTGAATGGATTAGGGTGCCCCTCTCGCAGGGGAGAGCAGGGAACTGCCTCGGGAAAGGGGGCCGCTGGTGAAGCTATACCACCCTGTAACAACATACATAGTAGCCGTAACCTCATACTCCAGGCCAACGTCGGGGGTCTGCCCTGAATATCTTGCTTCGGTACGTGTGCTCATCCGCCATAACTTAGCAACTTATAAGTTTAATTACCACCCTGCCAGTTCCATCACCCCGCCACATCGCCACTTACGCATCCACATGTGAACACCTGAACAACATGCACCGACGCAGGGTGACGTGGGCAGCTTCCAGACGGTGGCCATATCGCCGGACGACAACTTCGTGTGCAGCAGCTCCGATGGTGGGTTTGTCTGTCTGTCTGTCTATCTGTCTGTCTGTCTGTCTGTCTGTCGGTGGGACGACTTAGACCTTCAGAGCTGCGGCGACCTAGGCAGGGGTGCGGAGGATGAGGATAGCCTGCAAAAAAGGCTTGAGCGGACCAGTCACAGTACTACGATTGTTTGCTTGTGTGCGTGTGTTACACCCCAAGTTGCGTTTGTTGTTACACCCCGCCCCGACCTTTCCGGTCGCCGGTCCTCCGCAGATAACGTCATCCGGCTTTGGGATATGAACACCGGCCAGCAGAACGCCGTGCTGCAGGTACGTGTATGTGGGAGGGGCATTAGACGTGTGCATCCGTGCGTGTGTTTTGGACAGAGACTTAATTGGTGGTCCGTGTGAGGCATGCACGCATATGGACACAGGTATGTGCATCTGTGCGCATGCATGTGCATCTGTGCGCGTGCGTGTGCGTGCGGAGAGGATGGGCCTTGACGTGGCACGGCGTGGGGTGGGTGGGGCAGAGGCCACTTCGTAGTGACGCGGAGGAGGAGCGGAGCCGGGGCCGTCCAGAGCGGGAGCTCTGATGGCTGTAGGTTGCCGGCGGGCGTGTGCATGGGAGCAGCGAAGAGTGAAGTAGCTGATAAGGGGAGAGCTGAGCCGCCGGCTGATTATGCATCCGTCGTTAGGATGTCACACGCAATTCCCGCTCCGCCGCCCTTCACTTCCATCCCCGTTTCCACCTCCCTTGATGACCATCATGTTGCCAAACCTTTTTTCGCTTGGCTTGGGTTGCCTGGCCCTCAGGGCCATACAAGCTGGATTGTGGGCATCTGCTTCGGTTATCAGGTATTTGTGGGGGGGAGGAAGATAGTCGGCCGCTTGTCGGCAAGCGGTGCACTCACTTCCACTCGCCGCCTCGGTTTAGTTTTGCACCTGCCCATTCTTCTTTTTGTAACAGTTGATCATTACCTGTTACAAGCAATTCGCAGCGTGCCACTATTGGAAACATGTGCCGTGTAAAAATAAAACTAGTGCATTTGCTCGGCGCGCATATTGTACATCAAATGTGTCACGATGTTCCACCATACCCAGCCGTACCATCCTTGAATGCCGTGCAGGACTTCGAGGGTGATGGCGACCCGCACCTTATGCTGGCCAGCTGTTCCGATGGTGGGGATTTTTGCCGTACTGTGATGTGCTATGCTATGCCTGTACTGCACAATGCTATGCTTGTACTGCACAATGCTATGCCTGTACTGCACAATGCTATGCCTGTACTGGTCTCATCAGGACTCTAAGGGCGGTGGATTCATTGCATTGTTGGGTGCGCATGGCATGCACATGCACACGCGGGTCCATGTACCATTGCGTGCAGAGCCCATTGCGGGTGGTGGAGGGTGCGTTCCGCAACAGGGCTTGTGGTTGTGGGAGGGCGGATGTCTGTGCACCTCCCCAATGTAGCTCTAGCTGCCCAGGTGCACATGCACATGCGTACTTCCGGATGTATGTTGGTTTCCGCCGCAGACTGCAGCGTGCGTGTGTGGGACTGCGAGACGTCCGAGTGCGTGCGGGAGCTGCGGGGCCACACCGGCAGCGTGCGGGCTGTGGCGTGGGAGGGCGTCAAGTGGAACTACATCGCGTCTGCGGGCAACGACTACACGGTCCGGCTGTGGAACGTGGCGCGAGGATCGCAGGTGGATCTGTTCAAGGGCCACACGGACGTGATCCGCGCCCTGGCCTTCAGCCCCGACGGCCTCATCCTGGCCTCCTCCGCGGAGGACACCACCATCCGACTCTACCACGTGGGGCAAATCACCGGCAGCACCGCCGAGCGACCCGACTGGCTGCCACTGCTGCCGGGCTCGGGCGTGGAGCTCAGGGTGGGTGCGGGGTGGATGCTGGGTGGCCGCATGCAGCCGGGATCCAGGATTGGTGATGCACATCTATCACATGCGCTTATATGTTTAGGGACATTTAGGCACAGGAGCGTCATGTGTCGGCGGTGCTCAGGTATCAGTGGTGCTCAGGTACATCCATGCACGGTCCGGGTAGCGCGCGGCTGCGCAGGAGTGCAGCGGTCCGTAGATGTGGATGTGGATATAGATGTAGACTCTTGGGGAGTGGGAGATGGGAAGACGGGAAAAGGGGCTTCAAATTTTTCTCAATTCCATTCCGCATGTTGCAGTTGCGGCTGCAGTTGGTGAATGGCTGGCAGCGGTCTTAACCCCGTCGGGAGATAGGTAGGCAACAATCAAAATGGGTTGTGACTTCGTTAATAAGTTACTACCCTAAGCTCCGCACAAGTGCGGGGTCTGTCCACAAAAGCCGGGGGCCCCCATGGGCTGTCATATCTGGACGCCACATCATTGTGGCCCCCCGAGTGCGGACTTTGGCGTCCTCTCCCGCTCGCTCGCCTGGGCTCAGTACGCATCTGAGCGCGATGTGCCCCCGCGTGTCCATGAACTCCTAGAGAGGATTAGCCACAGCTATAAGGGGGCCTTCCGTTACAAAAATTGTACGCACTTCGCGCCCTCAGAAGCCAACATCCCCTTCGTGTTTTACTTGGAGAGACCCATCGGTCGGTGGGCATTTACCAAAGACATGCAGCAGCTCGTCCTCAACCACTCTGCAGTCACAAAGCCTGCAGGGCAACGCGCGGCACACTCACGGCCATGAGGCGTGTTAACTCCCAGTTCCCAACAACCTTGTTATCTGAAACGCATGAGCACCTGGTGCAAGTGGCCTATATAAGCAACACAGCCCCTGTGTGAGCGAACGATCCACACCAACCGTGTTCTCTTACTACTAGGAGATGGAGATGCTCCCATCCAGTTCAGATACCGGCATATATGCCTTCATAGCCCCATGCAGTGACTCCGTGGTGGTAACCCCCCTGTGGGTCGACTGAAGGGTGTTAGCACACACGTCCGCCTTGCATCGTTACGCGGCCCATAGAATAATACATGAGTCGTCCCATCATGCTGCCTGCGTGCCAGGTTTTGTCGTGATAGTAATGACGCTATGTCTAGGTTACGGTAACGGTTGCGGTTACGGCTACTTCACCGTGCAGTAGCGTCTCTTTACCGTCCTTTCCTCCACCCATCTTCCCTCGTCCCATCTCCTGCCTCCCACCTCCTCTCCTGTCTCCACCGCCACACCACCACCCTCAGGGGCATGAGAGTTGGGTGCTGTCCATAGCTTTCTCACCCAGGCGGGACAAGACAGACAGCCAGCTGCTGCTGGTCAGCGGATCCTGGTACGACGTGGAGGGGGAAGGGGGGGCCCACTGGGAGGCTGTACACCTAGAGGGGTTCTGGGGTTCGTGGTGGGTGTGGGGGGTGGGGGGGATTCGTGACGTGTGGGTGCGCGGTTGCTATCGGTCGCCATGAGCTCGGGGGGTTGGGCGCCCTGGTGCTGTCGTCGCGCATAGAGCTACCCCGGTAACAAGCTGCCACAAAGGCTAGCATCTAGCACCCGGCGTTTGTTTTCCAGCTCCTCAGCTCCAGTTCGACTCCATGTGCGTTTTTCTCTGCTGGCTTCAGCCTTACGCGGGCTCCTCCGCTGGCACATATTCAACCCGTGGGGCCCCACCCGCCTGGCAGCTCCCCAACTGCAACCTTCCTTCTTGAGCTTACCCGACCGGTGCAGGTGCCGGTAACGGTACCGGTACGGGCCCCGCAACCCACGAAAACAATCGCGCGGGCTAATGTATGATGTTACAGGGTGGTATAGCTTCACTAGTGGCCTCCTTTCCCGGCGCAGTTCTCCCCTGCGAGAGGGGCACCCTAATACGTTCACCCCATCCGACTTCAGAATCTATTCGTTGGGTTCAGCAACTCACCACCAGCATCCAACCAAATCTAACGGGTCAACGGCGCCTCAACTTAGTTCCTGGTCAGCTTGAAAATTGTTATAATTACGTCCTATATCGTCCACAAGATGGGGGGCCACCTCCAAATCAAACACCCCACACAAAGAATACCGAAATTTAATACCATGTACCCCCGAAACAGCCATTTCGATATATATACATCAAATACCCGATGAATGACACGACCCAGGTTCGAACTGGGGACCTCCTGTGTGTGAGACAGATGTGATAACCAACTACACCATCGTGTCGTAGCTGTTCATGACATTGCGGTTTTCTCGAATATAGGATTACGTTGTTGTTGTTCGTGTGCTCCGTTGTGTCCCCCACAGGGACCACACAGTGCGCCTGTGGTCGCTGCCGGCCCAGGGGTCAACCAAACCTGCGTGTTTTGCCGTACTGCGGGGCCACCTGGGCCGCATCAACAGTGTCGCCGTGAGCATCTACGGGGGCCAGGAGGTGAGTTGAGTGCATTAGGGGGTGAGGGGGGAGAGGGGGTGATGGAGGAATTAAGGAGGCTCCTGCCCGTGGCCCCCTGCCCACTAACTACCGGCCCTGCGCGAGAGCCGTGTGTCCGTATGTCTGTCTGTATATGCTTTCAGGTCATCGCCAGCGCCTCCAACGATTCCACGATATGGCTGTGGCGGCGCACCACCACCACCACCACCACCACCACCACCAGCACCTCGGCACTGGCGGACACCACCACGACTGGTCTTGAGATGAACAAGCATCTAATTCAACACATGCATCAGCAGGAAGAGGAGGTGGGATTGCATGCCGAACGGACAATGGCAGAGCTGGAGGCGGAGCTGGCGAAGATATCGGAGGCAAAGGATGATGCTGGTGGCGCCACCGCTTCATCGGAGGCTGCGGTTACGGCCGGGGAGGGAGGGGCTACCCACCGCCAGAAGCAGCAGCAACAACATCAACATCAACAGCACCAGCACCACCAGCAGCAAGGTGGTAGTGGTAGTAGCGGTGGAAGAGGACGAGATGGAGGCGGAGGCGATCTTGAGGGAACCTGGGAGGTGGTTGCCAAGATCCGGGGCCACGCAGGACACGTGAACGCAGTGGCGTTCAACACCAAGGGCAGCCGCCTGGCATCCGCGTCGGAGGTACGTAAAGTTATTTTTTCTAAGCCAACGAAACCGACCTGCTGCCTGGTTTGCTTGGCTTTGCTACGTCCCTCCCCGGGGGCCGTCCCGCTGTCGCTCCGTGTCCGCTGTGGGGTTCACTTTCCCAGCGGAATGCCGCAGCGAGTGACCGACATGCTCGCCACTAATGTCGCCGACCGTAACTCTCAACTGTGCTTCCGTGGCTGCTGCCGCTACCACTGCTGCTGTCGCAGCAGCTTCTGGTTTAATCCCCTGCTGCTGCCGCTACCATTGCTGACGCCGCGACGACGGCAATTGCTGTGTTGCTGCTGCTGCTTTGTCCCACTGTGGGTTGTGCCATCCCGTGTGTGTGTGTGTGTGTATGCGCAGGACGAGACGGTCCGGCTGTGGGACCTGATGCCCTCCAACACACCTCAGGGACTTATCGATGCACAGCAAGCCCGGGACTTCAAGTAAGCCGTCATCTCCCACCCGCGTGCGCCAAGAGCTAGGCGGGGAGGGTGATGCGCTCTTGCATGCCTGCATAATCCCGATCCCGTGAACATCGCCGTGTCCTTGGCGAAGTGATGTTCTTCTTCGCCCTGCGTTACCCGATGTCATCTAACCATGTCGTCCGCACGTACCCAAGCACCCTCCCCCCTATACACCCATCCCGGCACAACACCCTGGCAGGGGCATCCAGGGCACCATCACCGTCTTGGCCATGGCCCCTGACGGCCAGCTGCTGGCTTCAGGCAGTGACGACCACACCCTGCGACTGTGGAGCACCCGGTCCAACCAGCAACTCATGGTGCTGCAGGTGACTCGCGGACTGACTGACCGACGGCCGATTGCGGGTTGTGATTAGAGACAAGGGACCGGCTCCTGAAGCCGCTGGGGGAACTGACCACTACCTGCGCAATGGGTCAACGAATAGAGTCCGCATCGCGAGGCGTGTCTCTCACCCGGATCCTGCGCCCCTGTACTCCTCACCCCGCTGGCCCTGTCGTCCGGTCTTTGCGGACCCGCCACCCGCTGCCCCCTCCCTCCCTAGGGTCACGGCTCCCCCGTGAGCGCACTGGCATTCGACGACCAGGCCCTGGTGTTGGCATCCGGCTCGGTGTGCGGCACTGTGCTGGTGTGGTGCAAGGACTCCGAGGGAGGCGGCAACCGGGAGGGATGGAGCCAGGTGGCAAAGCTGGAGCTGGCACTGCAGGTAGGGAGGACGGGGGAGGGGAGGAGGGGGAGGAGGGAGCCGGGTGAAGGAGGGCGAGGGGGAGCTCGGGCTCATGGACCGCTAGTAAGGCAACTCCTACAACATATACTGGGTCATTGGAAACAACAATTTCAGCACCAACAACAATTTGGCTATCAGTATCGTTGGCCGGCATTGCAAATTCTTTTGTTGCCTTTCTTGTTGCGGTTTCGGTGGTTTGGTGTTGTATACAGCAGCTACGAAAAAACACAATGTCACACACACACATTGTTGCACCGATATGCATTCTGTGCATTACTGCGTCGTAATGTTTACCACGCTGACGGGGGCGTCCTGCCGTCATGTACGATGGTGTCCAATGCACTCACTGCAGGTGCCGGATGCGGCGGTCAGTGCACTGGCGTTGGCGCACCACGTCATGCTGCAGTCCGCTACAGCCGCCATCGGGGGCGGCGGGGGCAACTTCCGCTCGGGTATGCCCCACGCCAGCGCGGCCCCCTGGAGCCCTCAGAGCGCCACCTTGCAGTCTTCCGTCTCCGTGTTCAGTCCGCAAACCGACGCCGCTGCGGACGGCGTGGCGACACCGCCGGCAGCGAAGCTGCTGCTTGCTTGCGGCACCAAGCCCCGTGAGATGCTGGACAGAGGGCCGTACTCTGGTGGCGGCGGTGGCGGTGGCGGGTATGGCGCCAAGGCGGCGGTACGGAACATGGGCCCAGGTCCGGCTCGACGCGCACGAGGCCGTGGAGCAGGCCTTGCGGCGGCTGGCGGCGATGACGACTTTTTCGGGGGGCGTCTGGTGAGGGCGGATCGAGGCAGATCGAGGCCGGTTGAGGCGTGTGTTAGCACATCAACAGCTGCATAACTACCACACCAGCTGCTCCCTCCAGCTGCATTTCCTCCCTCCCCCAGCTGTTTGCTGCTGCCATCTATTATAGAACATATGTCCGCATTTCCGCGGCTGGTCTCCTCCGTCTCCACCACCAAGTACGCACTGCACAACAATACCCCTTATAGTACCCTTATTCCAGTCAATGATGGTGCCTTGCCCCACCGCCGCCCTGCATGGTGGATACTTAGAGTGTACGTAGTGCATCTTAGCGAGCGGGCCTCTGGTGCGTGCGGGCCTGTGTGCTGAGAACGCTTGTGTGGGGCGGTCATGTGCGATGCTCGGGAGTGTACCTACCCTCCCTACCCTTCCTGCACTTCCTACCCTCCCTACCCTTCCTGCACTTCCTACCTTCCCTTACCCCCCTACCCTTCCTGCACTTCCTACCCTTCCTACCCTCCCTACCTTCCCTACCCCCCCTACCCTTCCTGCACTTCCTGTATCTCAGCCTCAGCTTGTTGCGCCCCTTGGGCTCGCGGCCGGTTGGCTTTCCGGGATGAAGAAGCTTGGAGCTCCTAACTGAGATGCCCTTTCCGTCGTGTGCAGATCTCCAGCAGCCTGACGCTGTGGGACGTGGAGGCCATCCGGCAGCAGACACATCTGCCCACCCACCTCCGCTCCAGCAAGCCACTCAAGATGCTCAAGTGTCAGTCGGCCATCTCGTGCACCGTCTTCAACAACACGGGCGAGATGCTCGCGTCCTCCAGCTTTGACAATGTGGTACGCACGGGTCTCTCCTTGGGGAGGTGGCTGGGGCAGCTAGCCACGTGGATGCGTGCATGGTTTCAAAGTCGATAGGTGCCCCAATTAGACTCAAATCGGAGTTCACGACTTAAAAGCATATGGCCTGGGTTGGTGTGGTTGGCCCCGCCATCACCTGCGCCTAAACAGCGGCTTATGGCTTCGTGCGGAACGCAACCACCTTTCAGTAACCTCCGTTGTGGCCCCCTGTAGATTTACCTTTGGCGGCCCGAGCAGCAGAACCCTGTGGCGCGCATGTGCCACCCCTCTGCACCCGACATGGCGACATCGCTGTGCTTCACTCAGGTGACGGGGTTTTAGGTTCAGGTGATGTGTCGTGGGCGGTGTATGTGTCGAGCAGCAACGGGAATAGTGAATTGGTCAGAGTGGAATCAAGGAGCATCAAGGGCCCGTGGAAGGAAGGAGGGCCCCGTGAAGGGCCCTTGGAACCTCAGCGCTGCTGTGGAGAGCTGGCAGCCGTCCTGAGCTCAGGCTCAGGCCACCTTTCACTAGGCAGCGTTGGTCTCATCTGACAGCGCCATTTTTTACGAGTCTGTCGCAGTGCCATCCTCACCTAGCGGACCCCGCCCTAAGCGGGTTAGGCACCATAAGTGTGTGGGGGGGGATGTTACTTGGAGCGCCTCACGGGCCCACACGAGGGCTCAGGTCATTGAGCTATCCCATTACATCAATGAAGCTGTGCGCCATGATGATATACTGGTATTTATATCATTTGTGACTTTTGGACCCCTTGCACCTCGAGGGGTCGTACTCCAGCTCTTGTCGCACCGTATTCACCACGTGTCTGTGTGTCTGTGTGTGCAGGATGGCTCGATGCTCGCCGCCGCGTGCCGCTTCAGTGAACGGGTCGATGTGTACGACATTACAAAGGTGCGTTTCGCTTACCGCACTTGCTGCTGGGATGCTTCATTGTTCTCCTTCTGTTAGTGGTGAGGTGAGGTGAGGTGAGGTGAGGTGAGGTGAGGTGAGGTGAGGTGAGGTGAGGGGTTCTGTTGGTGCTGTTATGGGGTAGAGGTGAGGTGTGGCACTGTAGTGGCAGAATGGGGAATGGGGGTAGGGAATGAGCGCATGATTGGGTAGCACCAGCACCAGCATCAGCACAAGCAGCAACGGCAGCATCGGCACCAGCACCACCAGCAGCGATCTTACCCCGTACATCACGGTACGTCCTTTCGTGCCCTTAGCCTCTGCCATGCCGCCTGGTCAATCCGCAGCTTCCCTGCCTTCCCACCTTATCCCTCCTCCACATGTACAGGCCTGCACAGCCAAAGAAGGCAGCGTCACTGGCCCAGTACCCCTCGGCGATGTGGACGACAGCGGTCTGGACGGCATCGCGGTGGCGCCGTGCGACCCGCAGGCCGACGGCACTGCCGAGCGCCGGGTGATCATATGTCGCAGCGGCTACAAGAGCCAGGCCATGCATCTGCAGGTGCTGGACCTCCCCTCCGCGGCGGCAGTGGCCGCGGCGTTGGAGGCGGAGGAGGTGGCGCAGCGGCGCGCTTCGGCAGTCGCCGCTGCCACTGCCGCTGTCGCCGCGGTGGCAGCCGGCACGCCTTTCGCAATGGGAGACGCGGCGCTGCTAGCGGCCGCAACCGCGTCGGAGGCAGCGGCCGCCGCTGCCAACAGCGGCAGCCCAGATGCATCATGGCGGGACCTGATGGCGCCGCGGGAGGTGGCCAAAGTGTATACCACAGTACCCATCCATCAGATCGCCTGCTTTGAGGACCTGCTGGTGGTCACAAGCGGCCGCACCGTCAATTTTTACAAGTTGGCTGCAGGGGGCATGCCCTGACGGCGGCATCTTTATAGTAAAGAATGGAGCGAAATGGATCGAAAGTGGACTGGATACGGAACGCGCAAGTCCCCCTCTTTTGAACGGAAACCTTCGAAACCTAATCGGGCAGGACCCAATGAACACCTCGTGCTGCCTTGTCGCTGCGTGCGGCCTGTTTTGTTTTCTCCGTTTTTACCCGATGTTACTTGTTGCTTTTTCAATCACTCCGTTGAACTGTTGCCCCTCCTGTAGTCTCTGGGGTTATCGCTGAATGCGGATATTACCTGAGTGATAGTATACGTTTTGTTTCCTTTGTGCGTTTTACACTATTTGTTTGTCTGTTTCGGACAGTTTTCGTCTGTCGGCCTGGGACCCCCTCAGGGCTCGTGTGCATGGGAAACCTCTGGATGGTAACGCACCTCCAGAAGGTATAAAACACACACAAAAAAAAGAAAAGAAAATGTGAAGTGTGTTCGTGCGCTGCAGCTGGTATCCCTGCGCTTACTGCTTGTATAAGTGCGCGCGTGCATGTGCATGTGCATCGATGTGGATGTAGATCAGTGTAGGTAGGAGGTCAGCTAGGGGGCAAGCAAGCTGGACGCCTGTCAGCTGTTCAGACAAACTTATTTCCCTAGCTTTTCTCGAAGCCACGGTGCACGCGTGCATGCATGTTTGGGACGGCGCGATCGGCAAGCATCGGTCAACAGGCTGTGTCCTGCGTGTTGCAAGGACTGCCATAAGGACTAAGGCGAAACACACAAAGTGGTCATCTTCGCTGTCCAGCTCCTTTTGTTCCCCTCCGCTTCTGTGCCTTGAGGAGGATTCTGGCCAGGCGCGGGCCAGGGCAGGGTCCAAGTGGGAAGAGGGCTTCGAACGTGCCAAGAAAGGGCTGTGGATGAGCACTTGGGAGCGCTGTAATCCTTACACTGCTGGGCAGGGGGAGCGGCTGTCAATTTTGTTCTATTTCACTTTTGTCTGCGCATCAAAGGTTATGAATTGTCTGTGTTGTAGTCGTTTCCAATGTTTACTATTGCACGAGCACGCGTACACACGCTTTGCTTGCACCCACGGATGTCCACCACCGGGCATGTGGCAGGACAGGGTGGCTAGCTGGGTCCCCACGTCGCAATAATGCCTTCCAGTGAATCAGTCAGGCAACACAGCTGTTGGGTGTTCCACTTAGGGAACGATGTCAACACGATGCCCAGCACCCTGGGAGTTCAGAAATTATGTACGTACGAGGTGCACCTTACTTTCGCCGTCTTTGACCCCAAGAGCCATCCCTCATCAGTCTGGGACTTACTACTACCAGATCGTGCGTTACTTTGTGAGGCATGCGTGGACATCCTTTTTGACGCCTTTGGCTGTGATGAGGGGATTCAACCAGATTCATGCATGCATGCGTAGCGTTTGTGGGGAGCCCCACAGCAGACAGCGGTATAAGCTGTGTGCGCATCCTCCATATGCAGTGCAGCCATTTGCACAGCACAGCACGCACCCTGATAGGCACAAAATGATTAAAATTTCCCACAGTGCAACCACTGTTATCTCATTTGTGGTAGCCGATCGCCTCAGCAACAAAAGAGTTGTAAAAATCTTGTGTGGTTTGCTTGTCCTAGGCTCCGTGCTCCCGCAAGCCCTCACGTCACCCACGACCTGGAACCTTGACACTACTACTAAACCACAGTAGCGCCAGTGTCATCTGGGCTGTATGTGGTGCATTCCCCTGCAGAAGTATCGGCCTATGCACCAGCACACACCAGCACAGTATGTGTATCCCTCTCTACCCTTAACTATACGCCACATGTCCACAAGTGTATCACAAACATGCAGACATACGCACTGCGTTTTGGTAATAAAGTTACTCGCGTATCACCACTATCGGCATGTCCTCCGTAGCGGCTCATCAGATATTAAAACATACGTCCCACATGTACTATGTCTGGCCCCACATAACAGAAATCATTTCGGACATACGATGTAACCCCCTTGCAGTGTCCAGGCACCGCCTGCTTGCCTGCCTGCCTGCATAGCTTTGATAAGGCGTAAGAGCCTGCATAGCTTTGATAAGGCGTAAGAGCCCCTAGCGGCGGTCTCTGGCCTTGGGCACCCGTACTTCATCCCTTCGTCCCACATACATACATACCCTCGCTCCCCCCTCCAAGATCATCCTCTCCCTCTCGCACGCACGTATGCATGCAGTGACTGCCAGCCGCGGAAGAGATTATTCATCATACAGAGTATATAATAAGTACTTATACATGCGCATTCAGGATTCAATAAGACTTTCCTCCTCATGTATCGCCCCGCATTATTATTGCAGGGGATGGGTGTCAGCAGTAAAACATGAACAGAAAAATTCGCGACGCGCGCATTTGCACCGTGCAAGTGAAAACCCAACACGCGTACATCACTTGTACGGCTGTCCAAGCGTCGTCGTCTGTCATCTTCACACACGCACCCTTGGTGTCTTATCTTCCTTGCGCACGCAAACATTTTTATTACGTTACGTGCGCGGGGGGGGGTATGACATCCATGTCCCCGAAAAAATGCATTTTGCACGCTTTCGCAACCCTGGTCCTCCCGTATTGGCCGGCGTTGCTTTGGACTAAAGCCTTTATTGCGCTGCTTGCCTAGTACTCTAGTACTTCCTTCCTGCTGTTAGCAATACCTCTCCTCTTTGTGGCAATCCGGTAATCAGTGGCCGACACCGCAGCAGACCGGAGCACGCTCCCGAGCCATAAGAGCGTCTCCTAAAATTGACGCCTTATGATGTGCCGGTCAGCTGCACAGTGCGTGGTAGCACCCGAGCCATCCAGCCATCCACATCATGCTGACCACCCTCCACGCCGTTGCAAATTCGTCTGTCCGTCTGTCTGTCCGTCTGCTCCGTCCATAAAACCCATCAAAGCTACCCAGCAGGAATGAGACAACGTAGTCAGCCAGCCAGCCGCCAAGCCAGAGCTAAGACGCACCCAAGCCGGGCCGATGAAGAGAGGCGGCAAGAGAGACGCCATGAAACAAGAATATTGACAGCAATGTGGGAGAGACTGTAATACCGGATACGCCCGTGCTCCCCTGTGTATGACAGCGCGGATCAGGTGGCATCAGCATCACCCATCTTGATCCGCAGCGGCGGCTGCAGCTTGTTCCCGCCGCCGGCGCTCCCGCTCTTCCCGCCGCCATGCGACGATTACTGCGTTGGCCTGCGCGTCCTGGGGAGCCGTACAGTCGTCCAGTTGTACGGCGCACATGCCAGCCAAGCGTCATGGAAAGCAGCACGGAGCTTGTGTCACACATACACACACAGGGACCTCCAGACGATAATTGATGACTACCGAGAAGCACCAAGCTAGGGAAGCTAGCAGTAGCAGTAGTAGTACTACTACTAGAGGAAATAAGGGCGAATTTAGCATTTCCCGTGTTCCGCCCGCCGGAACGAAAACATAAAATGATGAAGCCAAGGTGCACATGTCATGCACTAGCGGATGGCGACTACGGTTGCTGCTGAGCTGCTGCTGCTCATAACAAAGTAAAAATGATTATGGTTCCCTTCTTCAGTATCGATGTCATATACCCCAGCAGCCTCAGTACCTCTGTGCCCCGATGGACCCAGTGTTGGAGCGGACAACCCAACACACATACACAGACCCCGCCAGGCCCCACGCCTTCCCTCTTTACCTTCCTCGCCAGGTCGGCCAGCAGGTTGCGAATACCCCTCATCGCATCGGAGGGGGAGCAACACACTGTTTGGGTTTGAATCTGACCATTTGGCAGCAGGCGCCGGTACCTGCCGCCGCAAGGACAGCGACAACGGGATCGACGACGATGACGATGACGAGCAGAAACAGCAGTGGCAACAGCACCAGGGTCAGCAATGGAGGTCGATGATGGCGGAGGAAAGGAGTGGGAGGGCGGGGGTGAAGCGGGGGGGGCAGGGAAATGGGACGGACCAAAACCCCAGCCACCCGCCCACCCACCCGCACACAGTTGTGGGCAGGGGTCCACAGCCACCCCCGGAGTTCCCGGAGCTGGTACAAGAGGATCAATATTACCATGTTGTAGGGCTCATGTTCCATATATAATATAATATAAGTAATATGTAAACACATACACAACATGCATGACTTCGGTTGCAACGCAAGAGCTGCCAGGCTGCCTGGCTCTCGACCCCATCCTCTTTTACCCCCCCCCCCAACAAACTAACTTCCCCCCCGCCAACAAACTAACTCCCCCCCCCCAACCAGACATAAAAAACCTTGCACTTCTTTCTTTCGTTGACACCGCACTTCACTTTTTTCCCTCCATGCATGAGACGAGATGGAGGAAACAGATGCCACGCGACCTGCATGCGCGCATCCAAGTAAGGAGTGCCCAACACGGCACATCCGTTGTTGCGTACTGGGTTCTCAAGGGTCTTAGTACGCCGGTCCGTACGGGCCCGACATCTCACTTGTAATGTTTGCCGTCTGTGTCCTTCACGAGCACCCAATCGTTCTCCTTCATCCGCTCCACAGTGCGTCGCCATGACTTGGTATCACTGCGATCCTGGTACAGATGCGGCTCGTCGTCGCTGCTGGCGTCGCAGCCGTCGTCCTTGTCGCCACTGGCGACCGCTGCCGCCGTCTTCTTCTTGCTCGTCTTTTTGCTCTGGCGCTCGTGCGCCCGAGCCATCAGCGCAATCATATCCTCCGGGCTCAACCCCCGGGCCTGAAACCAATCCAATCCAATGAGAAAGACGAGCAACAAGTAAGGAAAAAACTGCGGCTGGTGTTGATGCTGATGGTGCTGATGATGTTGATGGTGGCGCCACCATCAGCATTGCCTGCGGTCATCATCTCGTCTAACAAAACCATATCGGCCAGTAGCACTCCCCTGCCCCTGCCCCTGCAGGATTGAGTCCACGTACCGGTCCGCCCTCCTGCTGGAGCCTCCGCTCCAATAGCCGCTTAATCGCCGCAACGGCACTTGGTTCCGGAGCCTCTAAATCACCATCCTCCGCCGCCAGGGGATCATCTCGCAGACATAAGCCCCCTTGAACCAGGTCCCATAAAAGGGACAGGTTGATATCCGTGGTTTCATCGTCACCGCCGCCCGGGATGCCTGGAGAGGGCGCCGGGCCATAGCCGCCGTCGCTGTTGCCGCCGCCGCTGCCACCGCAACCGCGCACGTGTTGGGACCCCGGTGTTATCGTGGGCTGCCGAGCCGCGTGGAGCACCTTCACCCCGCTGTGGTGTGCGCCTGGAAGTAGTCGGAGAGACGTTTGTTGGCAGTGGGGCAGTGGGGCCCGGTCGGCCAGAGGGGGGTGGATTTATAGGGTGCAAGAAGCGAAGGGTCAACTGCCTGTGGGCCGAGGCTCAGCTATTGGGCGATGACGATGGGGTGTTGCATGGCAAGGTAAGATGGCTCTCCAGGAGGCGGGGTGTGCAAAGGAAAGCAATAAGGGACAGCTTTGATAGCTGCATGGCACAGCGAACACGCTCTCAGCCCACTGCGCCCTTATAAGGCCCTGACAAGGCCACGCTTCATGCGTATTTGGCGTGGATTGCGTTCCCGTCTTTATACTCCTCCCGCCGTACAGCTGAAACAAGGCATACAGGGGTGTCTCTCTTCCTCTCCCTCGCCCCAAACCCTAAGACCCACTAAAGGCAACACATACCGTGCCTCGCCAACAGCCCGCGAAGATGAGACTGGTGATGATGATGATGATGATGATGATGATGATGATGATGATGATGATGGTGGTGGTGGTGGTGACGGTGCGTGCCGTTCTTCCTCACAGCCAAATCGCTGCAAGCCCCAACGGCTCCTCCAGCCCCGTCAGCTGCTACTGCTGCTGCTGCTACTGCATGTCCGGGAGCCAAGGCGGCAGGCGTCAGAGCAACCGATGCACGTAGCTCCGGAAAGTCTTCTCCCTCAATTTCCAACTCCACTGCGGCCGCAGCCGCAGCCGCATGGGGCTGCCGCTGCTGCTGCTGCTGTGCGGGCAGCCCCGGTTGAGGGGCTCGTCGACCCCCCCTCCGAAAGGATGAAGACGATGATGATGACGACATGGGTGATGACAGTTGGGTGTGGTGGCTTGCCGGTGAGCTGCTGGCATCGCTGTCGCCGGCGGTAGCAGCCGAAGCCGAAGTGGAGCCAGCAGCAACCGTGCCGCCAATCCCGGAGCCGACGCGCAGAAGGACGATGGGCGCGGTTCCCTTGCCGTTACCGCTGCTCGCACCGAAACCGCTGCCGACTCGGGCATGCGGCGCCGCAGTGGCTGCAGTAAGCGAACCACCGGTGGTGGGCTCTGATAGCGCCACCTCCAGCGACCCGCAACTCCCAGAGCCCTGCCGGATTACCATGGTAGCACGTCGTGGCCGCTGTTATACTTTATACTACCATAAAAATTATATACTACCATTTTGTTCATGTAGCAGGTAGTAGAGGTAAATGGGCCGAATGAGTCCAACACGAAACATGCAACGTCCCACCACCACTCGCACCGGACAGGCTGCAATTCCGAAGCAGGGCAGTTCATGGAAAGACGAAGGAGGGGAAGAGGAGGGGGAGGAGGAAGGGGACGGGGAGAGGGGGGGGAGGAAGAGCAGAAGGGGAATACAACGAAGGTCGGGTCCCTCTGCGCTGTTGGGAGATCCTTTGCTTTTAGTGAGGCCTACAGTGGGCCTAGAGTTCCGCATGTGTGTATGTTGTTACAGGGTGGTTAACTTCGCCAGCAGCCCCTTTCCCGGGCAGTCCCTGCTCTCCCCTGCTAGAGGGGCACCCTAATCCGCCACCCCATCCGACTTCAGAATGTATTCGTTGGGTTCGGCAACTCACCACCAGCATCCAACCAAATCTAGCGGATCAACGGCGCATCAACTTAGTTCCTGATTAGCTCGCAAGTTGATTTTATCACGACCTACATCGTCCACAAGATGGGGGGCCACTTCCCATTTCACGACCTCTCAAACACCCGAGAGGTTGGCAGGCGGATTTGAACCCGGGTCGGCCGGGAGCAGAAGTCAGGCCTTAACCTCTGCCAGCCGCCTGTGTGTGTATGTATGTGTGCATGTGTGTGTATGTGTGTGCGTGTGAGAGAGAGAGGGATGAGATGAGATGATTGCCGATCTCCCACCCACCCACCCGCCTACCTTCCGCCCGAGCCAGGCACCTGGCCGGCCCGGCGGCCGCGTGGCGACCGCGGCTGCAGCTGCAGCTGCAGGCGGCCACGGCCTTCCCGGCCACCATGGCCCTGAGCCGGGTCCTGGCCCCGGAGGTAACTCCACGGCACGGCCATGGACCTCCGTGCTGCTGCTGCTGCTACTGGGGGCGGAGGTGAGCGTCCCAGGAACTGAGCATTCACTGTTGCTCTCACCACCCGTGGCAGGGGCGCCGCCGGCGGGTTCGAGGGCCAACCTTCGCAGCTGGGCTACTGTGTCCTTTGGAATCTCTGCGTCCTCCAACAGGCCGCAATCCGCATTGGCCCCGAAGAAGACCTCCTCGTACATTTCCAGTACGTTATGTAAATCCAGCTGCGCAGCGGACGGGGGGAGGCGTGGGTGGGTACGGGACGTCACACCGGCCAGAAGACAGGGGAGAGGTGCGGGCGTGGGGTGAGCAGGGGAGGTTGTTGCCTGCTTTGCTTCGCCTTGTTGCTGTTCCTTCTGAGCTGATCGTTCTTGGGGTGATATTTTATGATGTTGGCTAGGGGATTTGGTTGTTGGCGCACATGGGCTTTTGCTGCAGAAGAGTGGCTTTAATGCGGTGGGAAAAGGCGTTCATTTGAAATTTGGGTTGGGCTTGGCACACAGGTCAGGTCAGCCGGTGTGCGCTTTGTACCGTCTGAATTTTAAAAATGTGGCCTGACCCAAACGATGGTGCATGCTGTGTGCTGTGATGCGGGGCTTCATAGGGCATCACGCGGAAGCCGTGCGAGCCTCCCGCGGTAACCCCTCCGTTGCGACTGCGTACCCCGCTTGAGGGCGTGGCGCAGGAAATTGATGGATGAATTTCGTTTGTGTATCCGCTTTGTACTCGGCCATGGCTTGCTTTAGCAAACTCCGCCTCACGCGCTCTGAAAGCATCGTCGTCAAGGGTTTTCCATGCAAGCAATAACACAGGCGAAGCATTCAGGATTAATGATACCAAACGACAGATTCTTTTCTTTTATAGTAAAAAGAAAAATCACTTATGCCTAACGACCGACGCACGCCATCAGGAATGGTCTAACCTTTCCGCCTCCTCCCTCAGAGCCTCCTGCTTTATTAGGCGCTTTTGGGCCCGCTTGCTTTGCGTCTTAAGCACAGCCTTTGGTTCGCGCTCCTCATGGGCTTGAAGCAGCTTGAACATATCGAGTCTTGTGTCCTCACCAACAAATTCGATTGTGGATACTAGTGCCCAAGCTTATGCATAAGGGGAGAACATTAAAGTTGACAATTCTGTGATGTGGCACATGCATGAACGGTGCAGTCGCCGTACGCAGGGAGGTGCCTTGCCTCGAGTGCCTACGCAAGCAAGTAGCGATGTCAAGGGCGTCATCCTTGCAGCGCGGCTGTGACTGCTGCTTCGCTCGCGCTTAGGAGGGCGAGCCTTTTCGTCGCAACTGGTCGCAACGAGGAGCGATGGTCCATGACGAGGAGGCGGTCGACGCTGAGTCTCACTTCGCGCAACGAACACGACGGCTTTTCATAAATACGTTTCCCCCTCTGGATGGATACTCCAGTAGGTGCGAAGGGAAGCTTAGCCATAGCCGCTAGTCTCCGGACAGGATTTGTTAAGGGGGCCACTGCACGACTGAAATCGCTACGGACCGAGTTCATCAGTCCCAGGGCTAAAGCTTTACATGGAAAGGTCCTTGCCGCAGGATACGGATTAACATCATACGGGTAAGTGCCAATGTGGCCGTGGCCAATTGTCGGGCCCACCCACATGCCTGTCGAAGAGCCGCGGGAAGTCGCCGTGGATTTTGCAATTTACATTTGCATCTACGTTGCGTCGCGGGCGCATATTCAGCTTTTGCAGCTGCAAGCTGTAAGCAACCGACTATAAACGATTGATGAGTCGGGACCAGGAAAGGACGGCACAACGGGACGCCCGCACCTCGGGGCCAACGGCAAGAGGTGTGAGGGGTGCCATTGTGAGGTCTAGAGTTAGCAGAAACTGAGCAGACACTGAGACACATGGCTTCTAGTGCAGGCCATCGTTTAAGTACTAGCGCGCCATGTTGTACGGAAGACGGCTGAGTCTCGGAGCTGTCGACCACGCGGCATGGCATCTTTATTCCTGCGTGGCTCAGTGTCACACAGCACTGCACAAACAATTGGCATTGATACAACGGTCATCATCTGGCTACCATTTTACCCATCTGTTGGAGCGATCCGCAATAGCAATACGGCTCAGTACGAAAGGAAACGTATTTTTTAAGCGTGTTTTTCTGAGCTTGACCGCGTCTTTCCTTAGGGTAAGCCTGTTTAGTGCTATTTCGCTCCGAAGCCGTACGGCATGACAGCCTTCCTTGCATTTTAGGTTTTGACGACGACTGGTGAAACGGCGCCTCCATATGCCGCTGCGGGAGTACATGAATAAATCCCTAAATGATAATCATAAGCCAGGCGCAAGGATGTAATGCCATACACGTTGGATCGGACTATCAAAGCAGATGAAGGGCTATACACCTTTCAAAATGTACACCTTCTAGTCGAGGTTCCGTCTTGGCCCCTGGCCGTTAGGGTTGAACAGGCATAATCTGTGGCCGCTAAGGCATGTCATGAACGTTGGTGTGGGGTCTATTATGTTATATTTGTCTGCTATTTTTTCTGGACTTGTTTTTTTCCTTTATTGGCTTTCGCTTTGACTCGCGGTCCGTTTACCTGGGCCTTACGCCCTCAATGCATAACACATATCGTGGACTATGCACTTCAGCTACTGACAAAGTCCGGTGAAAAATATAATAGAGATGTCTCTCTGGGGTTGCGAAGAGCTATACGTCACCGGCTTACCAGCCGACGTTACCGAGCCGGAGCTCCGTGGACTTTTCGGAACTCATGGCACGGTTAAGGAGGCTGTGATTGTCAACAAAAAAGGACCTTCTGGTCCAAACGCGCCGCAGTCGTGCATCGTCAGGCAAGCTAGTCTTGACAGAACACGCCTTGGAGGATCCTGTCGATAGCCTCACCTTGTAACTTTGTGGTTTAGGATGGCTGCCCACGCCGACGCGGTGAAGGCAAAGAAGGCACTTCACAAGTATGACTGGATGGGCAAGCAGATCAGCGTCAAATGGTAAGCTTGAGGCAATTTTGAGGTATTCGCACTATTCATGTTAAACGTTGTACTAACTATCTCTGGTTTTATACTTAGCGTACCTGGCCGTTCCGCGATTTTGCAGGTCCCACAACCAGCGCGTGCTGTGGGTCACCAATTTGCACGAAAGCGTGACAAATGAGGTGCGTGTCCCCGCGTGTCGCTGCGCCATCATAACGTCTGTGTCGCGGGATTCTTGTCCTACTCCTTCGTAGCTGTAGTTGTATTCTTTCTCCCGTGTGTATATCCCGGTGTGCTGCTTCAGAGCCCATTCAGTCTTTTGTCACTTTGACACTCTTGCTGCTTGGGGACGAACTGCAGGCAGTTATAATATCTGCAGAACCGCATGCCATTAAGCCGCCATCGCAATCCCACCAACATCCCATCTTTGTTTTAACCTATGCGGCTTTTCAACAAGTTGACCCCGCCTTCCCTAATGTTCTTCCCCCCTCCATACTATCCTCATCTGTGGACCTTCTCGTCCCGTTCCCGGGCCTGCTGCGTTACTGCCCTCGTGAATCCCCCCTTCCCATGTCCACAATGGGATCTACCCGTATCGTCTCCCATGCCCACCGCCGCCACCACTTCATTCGCCTGCTCCCTGCGCGTCTTCTGCCTATGTACGGCACGTACCATAAATGCTGTACATATGTGATCATCATCACCACCCCGCGGTCAACTGCCAGGTCCTGCAATCGGCTTTTGCTCAGTTTGGCGCCGTGAGCAAGGCCGTTGTTGCTTGTGATGCCCCGAACAACACGTCCAAAGGGTTGGTGCACTGTTCCCGAAGGGTCTTGGGTTGGTTCATGCCTTGTTCTTCCCGCTTCCTGTGCCTTGCTTATCCAGTTGTGCTGTTCTGGCTTGCGTTGCTTGGCTTGTCGGGTGCGCTGCCTTTATGCACACTGCCCATGCAATATATGGCCCCAGCATGATCATGATATGCCGATGGCGTGGTTCATGCGTGTGCTCAACATGAGGCGCTGGAACGATTGTGCTATCTTTGATGCTTAACCCATGACTTGCACAAGAGCATATGCGTGCGTACCCTAAATCCTGGCTGCTTAGCCATGTTTCTGCCGTCATGCTTTCGCAAAGGACATTTTGCGTGCGTATCCCAGCACCGAGGAGGGTTCCGCATAGCTGTCTGCTTCTGCGTGCTGCTAACCCTCGGATGTGACGCATGGTGCATGCAGGGGTTCCACCTGAAAATGGCTTCACAATCCTAAAAATATGATGTCGTTGATGCCTGCTTGCCATGCTATGCAGGTGGGGATTTGTAGCGTTTGAGAACAAGCGCTTTGCAGTCAAGGCTCTCGATGTAAGTCTGCTGGAGGACGTGCCTGCTAGCAGGATATTTCCTAGCGAGGCGTCTGCGAGCACGATACTACTCGTCTAGTCAAGGGTTTCTCTCGTACAGCAATGCTGTTTGGCTATACCTCATTATGTCCTGTGCGTTCTCACCATGTGTAGGCCATCCGCCAGCGTCCGTTCCTGATTGGCGCTGGCCTGAGGCCAGTGGTGGCGGACTGGGCACGCAATGAGGTACGGGGACTTCCTGAAGTAACAAACTGCTTGCTCCGTCGGGTAAAGCCTTGCCTAGTTGCCTCGGTGCGGGCTAGCCGACTGCTGTTTGCACATTTTATGCAATGGCATAAGGAAGTGGATAAAAACGCACTATCGCATAACTCAGGTTGCTGGCTAGAATTGCTGGGTGATTGTCGGGTTATTATTGGTTTTGATGCTGTCGCAATAGCATCAGGCTCGAGCTTGCTAGTTATTCTCAAATGTCACGTGTGTGTACAGGAGGTGGTGGAGGGCTTCAGTGAGGAGGTGCGAACCGGCCACAAGGGCCCGCCGCCTGGGCCGCTGCTGCTTGAGAATGCGGCTCGCTTTCCACCGCCGCACAGCAAGGAAGACATGCAGGTGAGGCAGGACCTCTGGATAATGGAGCATATGGAATGGATAATGGAGCATATGGAAGCTGTGCTTTCCCGTACGATGGCGTACTGTTTAGCTTGCGTTTGAGCAAATGACGAAGTTGACAAGTTGATATGTATATCGCCATCTTAGGCTGCTATGTCAGTCGCATTCGCCAAGGTAAAATTCTTCATCGGTTGTCTTTAATACATGCTGCACGTGTGCACACCCTTTCGTAATCGTTGCGTTGCCCCGGCCTCTTGCCGCGCTTCCTTGGAACAGGGTGGTCGCCTGCTTGGCCTGCGTGCCGAGTACGAGGCGCTGCGCCTCCTCATCAAGAACTGCTTGGCAGAGGCAGAGAAGCAAATCATAGTCACAGTGAGTTGGTCGTTATGGATGGCGTGAATGTTATCTTGTTGATGCAGACCTAGACCTGGGTGCCAATGTGTGATGTCATTTGTGCAGCGATTGATAATACATTTTTGGGTGCCGCCTTATGCAGGGCAATGCGCCCCGGCTTGCGCACATGTTGCTGTCCGACCCCTTCTTTGCGCCGCCTCCGGGTTACATGCAACCCCCACCGCCGCGTCCGCCGATGGGACCAGCGCCGCCGCCGCCACATGGGCACATGGGGGGTCCACCGCCTATGGGCCCACCGCCTATGGGCCCGCCGCCGCCGTATAACTACCCGCCGCCGGGACCCCCCAGCGGTCCTGGCCCGATGAAGCGCGATGGGGAATCTTTTCACCATGTGCCACCGCCAAGCAAGCGGGCGATGACGGGTAGGATCTAAGTTGTTGTCGAGCGGTGCTGGGTGTGTTCCTGGGGCTACATAGGGTCTTAGGGTTTCGCAGTTGGGGTTACCGAAACGCACTGCTTTAAACGTTCCCGGCGTCCAGTCATAGCTTGTGTGGCTGGTTTGTTGCCTGAAGCTCAAGCCCAAAGCACAGGTACTCCAAGGTTTAAATTATAGATCCATGAAGTAGAAGACACCACGATGCCTGCAGGATCTCATGCTGCAACCGCTCTGTTCCAGGAAACCAGTTGAAGTGTTCGCAATCTGTGCTGCAATGCGATGCCATCATGAGCGTGCCATTCATGCTGTGTGTAATGTAGGTAACCAGGCGGACCGGTTCAACCCAAACCCCAACACTCAGTCAAAGCCGGAGCAGCAGCAGGCTGGACAGCCGTCGCAGCGGTCTAATGCCGCCTTCGTGCGCGGTGGCGAGCTGCACACGGTGAACCAAGGCGAATCTGGTGCCATTCAGCAGGCCCAGGCGGAGGGCGGCACAGCGCCGCCTGCGGCGGGTAAGCCAAATAGTTCGTTTTATGAGGCGATTATGACGTACTCCGCGCGTAACCTCTGTTACTCGATGTGTGGCATTAGGTGGAGAACAGGCGATTGTTTCTGTTTTCCTATCGAGCTGTGACTCGGCAGCCACGAGTTCACATGGGTTTGCGCTCCTCGTGTCCTTGTCTCTTGGTTCCCTGTAGGTTCAAAGCCCCCTGGTAGTCACGACCACGGCGGCATTGGCTTCTCGGGTTCCTCTACCCCTGCAGGTGGTGCGGGGCAGGGAAAGGGCCCTGCCAGCGCAGGCGCGCCGCAGGGTGGCTCGCAGGCGCCATACACCACCTACCAGTACCCTTACAGCTCGCAGCAAGGAGGGCAGGCACCTCCGTCGGCACAGGGCGCGGGGACGTATGGTTCTGGGGCACCACCGTCGTACCAGCAGCCGCAACAACACCAGCAGCAGTATGGATCGTACGGGGCGCCACCACCCTCTACCCCTGGTCAGGCGCCACAGCAGGCGTCGTACCAGCAACCTGCCGGCGCATACGCTCCGACTTCGGATCAGCAGCAGTACCAGTATGGGTCATACAACGGATATAACTATTACCAGCAGGTGAGGTTGGATATGTCGTCCGGTATCCTTAGTCCAGACCTGCCTGACACGTTTTGCCTCCAAACTGAGAGGATCGTATCCTCCATATGAGGGCACATGACAGTGTCTTCGCAGGTTCGGCAAAGCGCACACGTCTGCGGTTGCTGCACACTTTTTTCCTTTTTTGTTTCTGATTTTAGCCGTTCGCGGTTCCCATACCTTCAAAGAGATACTTCCTGATGCATATGCAGGGATCCGCACCCCCACAGCAGTCAACCCAGCCGGGACAGGCGCCGCCCTATCCCGGAGGCCCACCGCCTTCTGGGCCGTCGCCCTCGGGGCACCCTGGTCAGCAGCAGCCGCCTTATGGAGCGCCACCACCGCAGCAGTCCATGTACTCAGCGCCGCCGCCGGGTCTGCCAGGACAGGGCTACTACAGCTAAGCGTTGAACTAGCATGATCCTTTTTGATTGCATCATTCCTGGTTAAAATTACTGCGACCTGTGCAGGGTCTGCTTGCAGTAAAGGCGTTTAGGTGGCGGCTACGTGGTGAATTTGGAATGATTAAAAAAGAGTAGGCTGCCCTGGAATCGCTTTTGGATGCGGATGGGTTGGAAGTCCTAAACGGACATTTGGTGTGTTTGACGGTATTCGACCATCGTGCGTACAAGCGGCCATTGTTTAGCTGTATGAGCGCAGGTTATGCCACTTCGGTTGGAACGCTTTTGATCCAGACTGTTCTAGTTGCAATTCTCAGAACGAAGTGACTTCTTTGTGCGTGTTTAATCTGGTGCCTTATCACGAGAACCTGAAAAGCTGCTTTCTTGACCTATGCTGATCCGTTGAGGTCCTGGCACCAAGGAAGTGCAATCTAGCGTTGCAAATGGTTTGCGAATGGTTGCTGTTGATAGTGGTTTGTTAAACGTAGGCTGGGTATTTTTAACTCTGTTCTTACCGTACCGGTGCTGTCGGCTTTGGTAAGGAAGGAACGAGTGAATATGGGAGATAACGAAAATGGACAAAGTCTGTTGCGGGAAAGAAGAGTGGTATTGGCCCATGATGAATTCGATGTTAAATGTATCGTCCTGCTGTCCACACCGTTCACCTGATGAATTTAGTTTATGCAAAAGATAGGATTCACAAAGCTGCGACCGGGAACGCTACATACTTCGTCAACTCAAATTAATAATGAAAGCGGAAACATGCACAACACGAATGCCCCAACCGTCGCATCCCGGATGATTCCTTATACACCCTGAATGATGCCCTTGCAGCATCATAGGGCAATGCACTGAACAAAATAGCATCCGGCCAGCTGCCAGGTACTATCACAGACATGGTCTTGTGACAAAGCTGTTCGCAACCCCGTCCGGCCCAATAAAACTCTCACACGCGTTGCAGCTCGAGGGTCACTATGGCTATAGGTGCGGGTGCATGAGATATCACTGCTGTTGTTCACTGGTCTGGCGATGCTGCTGTTTGCTTGCCGACAGCAGTCCGTGGCCGCCAACCCGGCGGCGCCGCCAGGCCGGGACCGACGTATGACCGCGTGAAGTGCGCGCCACGCACATGCGGTAGATGATGCGGCAGGCGGATTACCGCCACTGGACCACGGGTCACGTCACTCGCATCCAGCACGCACAACTCCGCCACCATAGACTCAGCGTCGTGCAACACCACCATAAGCCAGCCGTCCTGCGCGTCCATTTCCCGGCTTGCCGCCGCTTCCCTTCCCACCGCCATGGACGGAAGCGGCAATGCGCCGGCTGGCTGCTGCTCTGTTTCGGACCTCTCTCCACTATTGCCATCTGCGTTATTAATGGCATCAGCTGGGCCAACATCTGCTGCTGCACCACGCACACCGTTACCCTTGCGCGGCACAAAAACCGGCGGACCCACAAAGACACGGTCCCCAGGGGACCATATCTCCGCACCGATGCCTCGTCGCCGTGCCAAGCCACTGCTATTGCAGCTGCTGTTGCCATTGCCGTTCACCGAAGCGGCGGCGGCAGCGGCAGCAGCGGGCACCGCATGGTCTGGCGGCACAGCCAGCTTCAACAGCACCTGCGACGGCGCCCAGCCCTCGGCGGCGTCGCTGGCAGCAACGGCGGCGTACAGGTGATGGTAGATACCGCCGCTGCATTGGCCCACCGGCGTCAAGTCCGGCGTGGCGGCGGTGGTTGCGGCAGAAGCCGTGCGCTGCGACAGCACCCTTGTGGAGGCGGTGCCGTACCGGAGATCGACCACAAGGCGCACAAGCTCGGGCTTGGGCTTCCGCCTGTTGGGGTGTAACGGGGTGTGCGGCGGGTAGCGCGGAGACAGAAGAGAGGTTGGAAAGCGTTGCGAAGCCAGACGCGAGAAACGAAGTAAACATAAGCATGCACACAGTTTCAAAGTTAGGAGAGGACAGTGGCTCATCCTTCAGGCGAGCGCCTTCCCAGCACCCAGTACCCCCTTCTTCAGGATTCCAGAGATCCGTCCCGGACTGCACAGGACCCCGTCCACTGGGAGCGAGGTGGAGGGCATGTGAACGGGAGAACGCAAGTAAAGTGAAGCGGCTTACCGGTGTTCCTCTGGATCCAATTCGTCCAGTGCGCCTCCTCCACTGCCCGGCAGGCCCTGCCAGCCAGCAGCCATAAGAGAGGAAAGTCCGACGGTCCCGTGGGACAAGGTGGGGGGCCCTCGGTCGGTCAGAACGTCAGCATGTCGGTCAGTGTATCAGCCCGGTAATACACCGACAGGAACAGCCAAGAGGCGATGCACTATGGAAGGTCATTGAAAGGGACACGGCCGCGAAAATGGTTGCAGTAGCGGCACGTGCTGGGGCGGCCGTTGCAGGGGCGATCGCTCTGCACGGCGGCCCGAGGGTGCCTATGTCGAACTTTCCCTCCACAAGCGCACACCACAACGAGACACATCCCGGTCAGCAAATTGGCGCAGGCTGCCAACCACTGTGCACATCAGCATGCAACTTCAGATACAGCATCACAGCAGTGGCAGCGCCTGAACAACCGCAAAACGCGGTTCACGAATCATCGTGGAATCATCACTTCCACTGCCGCAGCAGCTGTTACATGGGCTTTACCTGTTGACAAGTCGCGTCCAGGACAAGTACGTCACTCTTGTCGTCCGACGTCAGGCTGTAGCAACCCACGCAGGACACAGGCAGCAGCGGCGGTACGTCCACCACGATCGCCTCGGGACCTTGTCGTACGTGGGGAAATATATTGGAGTGTTTGCGGAAGGTCCGCATTTTAGTAGTAAATTCTTAGGATAAACGAATAAGATGAGTGCGGGTGTGTTTTTACGGCGTTACGTGCCATTTTGCCAGGACCTGTGCAACAAATGGAAAACGGTCAGATGCCTGGGCGAAACATCCGCTACCCCCTTTTTCCCACCAATTTCGTCACCACTCCAACCCCCTCCTCACCTTTTGCGGGCCAGACAAAGGGTGCGCCGCCGATGCTGACGCCGGTGCCACGACCGCGTCCTTGGCCTTGCTTACCGCCGTTACTGGTTGAGGACGACGACGAGGAGGAGGAGGAAGAGGAGGGAGAAGTCGGAGTAGCGGTGACGGTACCAGGCGGACGCGGCACGAGGTGAATGCGGGCGGGGCGGCCGGCATCCCAGTCAAAGCACTCAATGAAGGATGCGGCGCCCAGAGTAGCTTCCGTGGCAAAGCGCTGCGGGTTGAAGTCCAGAGGGGGCTGCGAGGGCACACACGTCGGGAGGTCATGGTGGGCGTGGTGGAGAAGGGGAAGGAGGGCCGGGGAGGGCTTGCATAAATTCAATGATTAACACAGTTTTAGATCTAATACAACGACAACGACACAACTAATATATCGACGGTATTTTGAAGCCAAGCTCCAGAACCATTCTCTTTAACCCTCCTCCATCGCATTCCTTCTTCTAGCTGTTCACTTTCTGTTCCCATCCGGACTTGAACGGTGTATCTCAGCGTTGTTTTACTGTTCATGCCCTTCCCGGTCGCGGCTTGCTGCTCGCATAAGTTTCCCATGCCTCCTCTCTGGCCGCCTAGGCCGCCAATTCCTTCGCTTCCCTTCCTGCCCTCCCTCTTTCCCTTTCTCCTTTTTCTCCCTCCCTCTCTCCCTCCCTCTCTCCCTCTCCTTCTCTCCCCTCTCCGCCTCTCCCTCCAACTCTCTCCCATCCTCTGCGTGGCTCACCTGTATTACCACGTAGTACCGGTCCGTGACCCAGAAATCCATAAGGCCCTCCGCCCAGGTAGCCGCCATGCGGTAGGTGATGGGGGGCCCCGCGGGGGCTCCGTCCTCCCCCACCTCCACCCACCGCAACAGCGTGTCCGGACCGCTCTGCGCGGCGCCCATGACCACCAGCCGCTGCGGCCGCTCGCCACCGTCGTTGGGGACCCCGCAGCTTGAGGAGTTGCTGGACGGGGAGGTGCTTGGGATGGAAGTGGCGGCGGAGATGGAGCTGGACCTGGAGGTGGAGGCTGCGTTCGACGGTGCAAGTGAAGACGGGCGGAGGGTCATTGGCGCGCTTTTAACGTTGACGTTTTTGCGCAGGGTTTGATTGGGCCAGCAGGCGCGAGCAGGTGTTGCAATTATCCTCAACTTCCGCTCCGAATCCCCTAGGCCAGCACAGCACAGGTAACATAGTGCGTATGTGTATACGGCGATTGTAAAGAAAAAGGGCAACGGCGACAAAGTCGGTGTTTGGACGCGACCCACCAGCTGCCAGCCCCTGCGGACGATCTGCCGCCGCNGTTAGGGGGCCCCCACCGCTGGCGGCGCTGGCGCGATCTTATTATCCCGCCCACCAGCCGACCCAGGTCTGCCATGGCGCCCCCCATGTCGTACTGCCCCACCGTTTCCAGGGACAACTTGTTTNAATTCGTATGGCAGGGATCCGCCCTGTGGAGCCACATCGGGGGAAATGGAAATAGAAGTGAAAGTGGAATAGGGAATGAATGAATGAACAATGTTATCATGAAACGACCGAAGTACGGGAAGTACGAGTACAGAAGACGAAGAAGGATTTGAAGAGGACTAATGCGGAGGCTGAGGACCGGAGGCCCTTGTCCGGAGGTTGTGATGGCCGAGAGGGAGAGAGGGGGAGAGGGGGAGAGGGGGAGAGGGAGAGTATGGGGCAGGGGGTATTCGTTAGGTGATGTGGGTGACAGGTGACAGTTGTTGGGTCCTTAAAGTATTGCGAGGTAGGGCGGAGCAGAGCGACATACATACGTACATACATACATACCCAAGCCGTGCCAGCACTGGTACTGGAACATGTGGCAACTACCAAGTTTACGAGAAGAGGTTTATTGAGGGGCCATTGTGGAGGGGGAGAAAAGGTGTGGGCGTTGGAGAATGATCAACACTCGTACACCTCCGGAATGTGCGTGGAGATGATAACACGGCCCGTGGTTGGCCCCCCTGGGCCACTGCTCCTCTCTTACATGAGGAGGACCAAATGCCGCAATGGTGTGTGAAGAGGGGTCCTGGATGCTGCGCTATGAGGTGACTCGCCACATCATGTTGTCCACCGTCCTGGGGACGTTTCCTCGCTGTTGGCCCCAATAGGGCTTTGCTCTGGCCGCAGCTTTGGGACGGACGTCTCCAGTCGAGCTGAGGAGAGCTGAGGGGAGCTGGGGAGACGAGCCCCCTGAAAGGCAAGGGTGTTCTTAACCTCTTACCTCTGTGAAGGCTAGCAGCCGACCTGCCCAGAGAACCACAGATGCGTTGGCGGGAGCCTGTGGATGGTGTGTTTCCGGAGGCAGGTAGGTAGGTAGGTAGGTAGGTAGGTAGGTAGGTAGGTAGGTAGGTAGGTAGGTAGGTAGGTAGGTAGGTAGGTAGGTAGGTAGGTGCCTCCGTGCGTGTCCTCCGGTAGGGAGCCAACCTTACCCCCCGGGATAAGCTGGCCGCCCCCCGGCAGACCAACACAGGCAAACGGATGCCCCGGGAAAGTGCTGTGCATGCACGTATGCATGTGTTCTGCCACGCAGCAAACGCAAGCTGCACTTTGTGTTATGAGTGGTTTTGCGGCGCATGTGATTGCAATAGTTGCAATGGCACATACATACGTATACATACATACACACACACTCTCTCTCACACGCACTCGCTCACCCGGAAGCCCAGGTCCAGGGGATTGAACAGTGCGGACAGAGGCGGGGGAGGCGGCAACCCCAGGAGCGAGAAGGGGTCCCACCTACGACGGCGACGAGGGGGAGGACGACGACGACGACGACGACGAGTGGCGTGATGGCCGCATTAGGAACAGGAAGTCAGGGCATGAGGTGGGGTGAGGAGAGATGGCGGGAGGGCTTCCTGGGTACATTTTGGGGCTGTAGGAAGGGTTGAATACACGCAGGTGTATCTCGCGCTCGCCTCTCTCCCGCCGTCACTTCCTCCCTCTGGATCTGGGTTTAAGAGGGAGTCGGCGTCTCCCTTCCTTCTCTCCCTCCCATTTCCTTCCGAACAAAGACCTAACCTCGCATACCTCAAGACCTCAAGATCGCAAAATAACTAACCAAATAGGTGAGCATTTGGGCAGCTGCTGAGCACCCAACACCCCAGGAACACCAATCACTCACATCCCTCTGGTGCCAGTTCGCCTCAACTCACCTGGGGGGCAGCTGCAGCTGCAGCTGCATTGCGGGCCGCCCGATAGCCGCTGCAGATGCCGCCCCTGCCGCCGCCGCCTCCTCTAGTTCGCCATTGTCTTCGTCATCCTCAAAACTCGTCCACCTTTGCTTTTCTTTCTTCTTCTTCTTCTTCTTGTCCTCCGCCGCTGCAGCTGCAGCTGCTGCTGCTGCCCGCCCATCCTCAGCGGATTTGCCGCGGGCACCAGCAGGAACGCGATGGTGCTGCTGGTGCTGGTGCTGCTGGTGCTGCTGCTGTTGTTGCTGCTGTTCTCGGCTGTGTTGCTGTCCGACAACGAGGGGTGCGCCGCGGTCATGGCGACCGCGGGTCAGGCGCCGACCCACCGCCTGCAGGATCGTATGGTGAGGTGAGTGGGAGGTGTAGTGATGTTTATGGGTTGCTAGAGCAGGGGCCCACAAAACTTGCCACTGCCACTGCCATCAATCTCTACCCGCAGAGCTCTTTTCCCGCAGTCCAACCCCATCCACACACCCACACCCACCCACCCACACCACTCACCCAGACGCCCATCCCTGCCGCGTCCCTGTGGCGCGTACCCCTTCCCCAGCTGGGCGGCATGCCTTCTTAAACCCTTTTCGCCTGACCGTCTCCGTGGCGCACATACAGACACGCAGTCATATCCCCGATGCTCCTTTTCCAACACATACATATATACATACACAAATACATACATTAATACGTACATACCCACTTCCAATCCCTTACACGCCGCCCGTAGTCCCTATTTTGCAAGCCAGATCCCGTGTGCCCGACGCCGACCCCTTGACCCCTTGGCCCCCCGCCCCTCGTGCACTCCACCACCTGCTCTGCTACGAAGGAGTTGGTGCGCACGTAGCGGTTGCGAAAGAAAATCTGTCCGCCGTCACCGAACGCCAGGCTGCATACCTAGGGTTGGGGTTGGAGTTGGAGTTGGGGGTTACGGGTGTTAGGGTGGTGGGGCGTGAGATAGGTATAGGGAACAAGACGAACCACTGACGATTGGAGCAGATGCCAGAGGTAAACAGAACTCCAGGACTAGACAGACACGGCATCAGGAATATTTGAATATAAGTGACCAGTAGTGACTGGGGGCTTGGGGGTTCTGGGGGCCTGGGGGATTGAAGTACGCGTGTGTGTGTGTGTGTGTGTGTGTGTGTGTGTGTGTGTGTGCGGGGGGAGATGCAGGCGCCGGGGACCTGCTGTAGGTGTGGCGGGGACTGTGAAGATTCCACGGGGTAGATATGCTTCCGCTGCCGCTGCCGCTACAGCCGCGGTGCTGGTGTTTAATATAGTTAAGGTAGCTAATGTATTTAAGGTTGTCATGGTGTGGTAGTGGTTGAGGTTAGTTAGATCTCATCAGGTGCAGGGGTAGTGGGAAAGTAATTTCCGCCTTTCAACCCCGCGCACCATGCCGTCGGCATCTGAGGGATGCCGTACAGATGTCCCGTACGCTTCGGTCAACGCAGGCCCAATGAGGAAGAGCGTGCCGCGAATATCCTCCGGAACTGTGCCGTACACTGCCTCCGCCGGCACGTAGTAGTCGTACTCGGTGTACTGCAGGACGCGCGGGCAGCAGCAGCGCACGGAATGAATGCATGGGCGCGGCTGTAGCTATGACTGCCATGTCAGGACAAAAAGCGGTTTTCCGTTGCCTCCAAAACCGTGTTGACCCAGAGTGTCGGAGAATTACAGACTCACCTGCGGCTTCCATCCCGATAGGTAGTCGGACAATAATCGACCTGGGGGGTACATGGGCGCCGCATTTGTCCCCGATTAGGTTCCAGGAGGAGAGATCTTGTAGTTCGGGTATCGGAATTCGATTGCATTGAGCCGTTTTGCGCGATGCATAGAGCAAATTTCAAGCTTGTCACTAGAAATGGTGCTGTTGGAGGCTTGTTGGAACTTGCAGGAGATGATGGCGCAGTTCATGGGCTCTTGGAGGCATCGCAATTCCAATAAACAAGTTGTCGATTAGTTTCATGGTGGCAGCCGGAGCGAAAGGGAGCTCTGCACGTGGCAGGTAACCAACCGACTAACTGCCCGTTGCAACAGGATTATAGCTGTAGGATAATGTGGAAGTGTACCCGAGCTCCGGAAGTCCCAAGCAAGTGTGGGGCTTCCAGCCCATGATAAGAACTTTACTTGTCGCACCTGTCAAGTCGCCCGCACGTTTGAGTTGCGGTGGGACTGGGCTTCGCTGAGAAGCTCCCGATGGGTTCAGCGCTTGCGGCTGCACCGACCACTGCGCACGTGTAGCTGTACAAGGACAGCGGCCCCATCTGAGACGTGGCAGGTTAACAAGGTGCACTGTGCTGGCTGTCCAGAGCTCCTTAGCGTACCGGCCTGGCGGGCGGAGCATGCCCATTCGGCCATCAGCTCTTCGATAGGACTCAGCACAAGAGAGCAAAATTTAAGTAGCTCGGGGCAGATGTATCTAAGCTCTGCCTTTATGTATTGTGACTTAGGAAGAAACGGAACTTCCACAGCAAGTCCGCGGCAAGCGACATCCAAGGGGACGGCCAAGCGTTACCTTGTTTTAAGCTTTTTACACGAGTAGGAGGCCATGTGCATATGCTAAAGCGATGTTGTGTCATGGTGTGAGCTGTGGCGGAGCTGCTAAAGAACTATCCTAACCTGCCAAGTACCCTCAAGCAGGCCAAGAGACACAGGTGATATCATAAGAGCCTAAAATGCATCTCAGACATATGAAATATGCAGGTTACGTGCAGTTCAGTTCATTAAGGTCGAAACGTACGGTTGGTACGGTGTCGCTTGCGACTAACAACGCAACCTAATTTGCTAAGCGACATAGATAACGGAGAGATACCGCTCAGCCTTTGAACCAATGTAGAATAATTCTATTATATATCCGTGATCTTTTGACCTGATGGGTAAGAACAAACCTATTGAAAAGGCAGGTCCCACGCTAACACAGACGGAGGCAAACAAGAAGATCAAGAAGGAATCCACGAAACAGGAAGAGAATTTTGAGGACAAGAAGGATTTGCCGAAAGATGGCGGCGTTAAGCCGGCGAAGAAGGGCCAGAAGTCTGAGATAGACGATATCTTCAGCGCGGGAAAGAAAAAGGTTTTGGAAGGAAAGCGACCAGCCACGGATGCTGCGTGTCAGGTGCGTCTACTGTCTTTGGTTGGCGAGCTTCCCACTCCATTCCCTGGTCAAGAGGTGAATGCTTACCGGCGCCAGAAGCCTAAATTAAGAAAGAACACGTCTCCAAGACATAGCCGTCACCACTTGTAAAAGTAGATCGTACGGCACGCAGGAGTCGGACGCCGCTGCCGTCGCTGCTGCCGCCGCCGCACCGGCAAAACGTCCCCGCGTAGAGGGCAGCAAAGATGACATTTTTGGCGAGGCGGCCGGGAAGGGCCGCAGCCGCACCGAGGAGGGCTACGCCATTTACACGGAGGAAGAGCTTGGACTGGGAAAGAAGGGCGGCGACACGGACCTATGTCCCTTTGACTGCGACTGCTGCTTCTAAGCTATACATCTCCTTTTCATCAAGCTTTCTTCATGACTTTCCAACACCGATTGCTGCTACTGCTACCGCTGCTGTTACTGCGGCGCACCCAGGGGAGCCCTGAGGAAAGCGGGAGCGTGCAAGGCATTTCCGAGGGAACCCCCGGCCCGGGCCGGGCCGCAGGGGCACAGGCCTGAACGCATCCATCGCAGGGACCCCGTGACTATGCATTTGTGTGAGCGTGTGTCAGCGGCGGGGAAGTGCTCTTAAGCGCCGGGGGCTGTGTTTAAGGTGGGGTCGTGGTGGGAGGTGTGGAGGTTACGTAGGGAGGAAACACCCAACACCTGGAGTGTGTGCGGTGTTCTAGGACCTTAGGGTCGAAGGGATAGGGAAGTGAAAAGCAAGGCAAGGTGGGCTATTGTGCGTTATGTGTGGTGTTCTAATAGCCAGATCCACAAGGGTAGGAGGAGAGGATTTGCCAGGGGGGAAGATGATGGCACACGAGTAACTTTTTACCGAAGCAAGTGGTAGTAGTAGTAGTAGTAGTCCAGCCTTGGCAGTCTTGAGGGGAAGTCAGCCTGCGTTTTGGGGCCCCAGCTGGGACCAACGCAGCTGAGCCTGGGACTGAGAATATACATACATATAGACGAACACGACGAAATCGAGCGTGACTTTGCATCATCCGTACATGCTGACCGAACGCCAAGCATTCATGCGGGGGGGGGGGGCTGTGTATGACATGCGCTGGATTTTACCTCCTGACTGTCGTACCCTTGCCCCTTACCTTGAAAGCTCCGCCGCATGTTCTTTATCGTGCGGGCACCTGCCACCTCCCGAGGAGGGTATACTTCGTGTGTTCAAACTGCGTGCTGCCGGTTTTCATGTCGGGGTTATCCTTCCACATGTGCTGCCACACGCCATACACGCCGTATCTTTGTATATCGGGGCCCTCGGGGTTTTCCATTCGGGCACATGTGCCCTTTTAATATCATGCACAAGGCCTCGGACACAGGTTAGTATTACACGCATGCCTCGCGCGCATGCCTCTTCCACACTGATTGGTCGAAAGAGTTCCGCTCAACGCACCATCGAAAAAACCCCATCGACCTACGCCTCCTTCGTAGTCGCCTCGTGCTGGGTGCGTCTCATAAGTGACCCTTCACAGAATTTATTCATTCATCGAAATCCAAACAGCGATGATAAGGACGAGTTCACGATGAAAAAGGCCTGCTGACGAGGACGCATTCCGGGGGCACGAGTTCAGTTTCATCCGGCGGTTAACCACCGCGCCAGCCCGGACCGCAAATGTCAACCATGACACAGATAGGTGATGACATAGTATCACAACCGGAGTGTGGGTTCTGCGGGCAGCACCGGTCATCAAATTGGGTTCTCTGTAACCTCATTTATTCGTTCAACGCATGAGAACCAGTCGATATATGATACAAAATCTTTTATTGCTCATTGTATCCATCTCTAGAATAAAATGAGGAATTCATCTTAAAAATGAGAAAAATCGCAACACATGCCCACGGCCAATTCTGTCGGTGCGAGGATTTCCTTCTCTTGGGGACCCAACCTTCCCTTGCACACACACCGCACTCTCTCTGAATCCCCAAACCGCACCTGCGCCGCTTCCAACCGTACTGCACGGTGCAGACGGTAGCTGCAGGACCAGCCGTAGCTGCGGCACCAACCGCAGAGGCTGTTTTCGGGCGGCTAAAGCTGCCGCGGCATTCACCGCGTCGGTTTCATCATGCTGCTAATGTTGCTGAGTCAGCACGTAGACTGCCAGTCCTGCAAAGTATCCGGCAGTCGCCCAGGGCGTGATGCGCCTGGCGTACCAGCCAAAGGACGCGGAGCGGTCCATGCCCATGAAGGCCACTCCCGCCGCACTGCCAATGACCAGCAAGGAGCCCCCCGTGCCCGCACAGTAGGCGATAAGCTGCCACAGGCTGCTGTCCTGCAGAGGTTTTACGGGGTTCCAACAGGATGGATTGCTGTGAAATTTCCTGGGGATGACTAATGACAAGGGGAAGACTTAAGTCTAATTTTCCTTACAAGGTTTTTTGGTGTCCTGAAACCACGGTGGGAAAGGGGCTGGGGATTAGGGACTAGAGCTGAACGGAGCCCCCTCCTGTAGAGGTGTAGAGTAGGGGACAGCCGCAAAGCGGATGAGAAGCGGTTATGCAACATCGTGACCCACGCAACGCCAACACCACTGCACGACGCTCCCCTTACCTGTGGATACAACTGCATGTCGTACATGCCCATCGTCGCAGCCACCAGCGGCACGTTGTCCACGATCGCGCTTGCTAGACCGATAATTCCCGCCACTACCTACAGCCACCAAATAAGTAAAATATAAAATCAAAGCTTTGGACACCGGGAACATCACCATCATCAATCATCATGTCAGGCATTTATCGCAGTTACGAGTTCTAGTTGGGTCAGACTTTTAAGACCTTGGGATGGACACTTCGGCGTCTGGCGCTGAGCCCTACCTTCTAACTGCCCAAGCCTTCCAGACCTCCCTTCTTCACTTCATCCTCTCCCAGGTCCACTTCGCTATCCCTGCACCAGCTCCCAACCCAGCGGCTTCTCCTTTCATCCACCCAAACACCCCAACCACTCCACAAATCCGGGCCACGGGCCTCCCCCCCAGACAAGTACAATACATGCGCACCTCCTGCTGCGGCACCAGCCTGCCCAACCCCTCCGCCAGCTCCTTCAACAGCCCCGCCTTGTCCAGCGCCGCCACCGCCAGCAGCACCCCCGTGAAGAACAACACCGCCTCGCTGTCCACCCGCTTGAGGGCCTGAGACACGGTCAGGTGCCTGACGTGTGTGTATGTATGCATGTGCATGTATGTATGTACATATACACAGGGAGGGGACGGAGGGGAGCGAGGGAAGTAGTAGGAGGGATGGAAAGGAATAGAACAAGCGTGCGGGCACAGGGAAAGAGGTATGAGGGGGTGGTGGAAATGGTAGAATGGTTGTGGGGAGAAACCCGTAGGGAGGGCAAACACGAGGCGGCGAGGAGCAGGGGCAACCTATGTGCAACCTATCGTTGCACATAGCCGCAGGCCATGCGGCCCATTCCACAACCCAACCAAGTCGCATAACAGCACAAACCGACACGCCCGCGTACGCCTAAACACACACACACACACTCTCTCTCCCCCCTCTTGCAGGGGAATCCCCCTTTCCCCGCTTTTGCCTTGCCAACTGCCCCTAGGCCGTTCTTCGGCCACTACATTTGTTCATGAACCACCATGATTACACCGCTTGGATGTCAGAACGCGGGTTGGTGTTAAGGAGTGATCTACTCATGTGTTTCTGTGTGTGATAAACACCTTCAGAGTTGTGTTACGTATTATACTCTCAAATACCACTAAAACATGTTAAGGGCACGCAATGCGGCCGCCCGAAGAAGGACCAAGAGACGCTTACTCCTCTCCAACAGTCCATCCAGGGGGGGAGATTGAGTTACGAGGCAAATCTCAAAACCGTTTAAACGAAACGCCGTACCTACGCTCCTCTCCAAAGTGGATGGCGTCCGTCACGAGCCACAGGAAGCCCAAACACGCCAACATGCCCATGTGTGGCGGCAGCCCCGCCCAGGCCCGCAGCACCGGCACCATGAGGAGGCTGCCAAGGCCCACACTGAGAACCAGGTTACTTCGGGGCGGAGCCGCCGCTGCAACGTCGTCCGCGGTGCTGGAAGGCGCGGTTGGGAGGCCATCCGAGGAGGTCGTTGTCGGCACTGCTGGTGCTGGCGCTGGCGCTGCTGATAGTGACTGTGATCGTGATTTTGCTGGTGCTGCTGGTATCGACGGCGCTGGTTGAGGATGCGGAGTTGGAGCTGGAGCTGGTGCTGGTGTCGTTGTTGATGCGGCGTCACTGGCCGTCGTCTGCGTGGAAGCGGGACAGGAAAGGGTTGCTGGGCCAACGTCGGCAAAAAGACGGAAAAAGGAACGCTGGTCCCAGCCTAGCTCCTCTTTTCTTTCCTTTTCTTTGCGTAGTTTACGCAGGTTTAGTTTTGGCTTTGACTTGTTTTGTTTTTTGCACGTGACGGACTATATCGCCGTACCACCCTTCAGTTCACACCCTATTGATAAGAAATACATAGTATGATTCCCCGGGAATGGGAGGGGGAAAGGGGGCTTGGAAACCCCTGGCAGTACTGCGGTGTACGACCCGTACCGCAAAAGCCCCACCTGGCTGTTACTGCTGTTACTGCTACTAGTGGTGGCGGCAGTAACCTTGGTGATGGCAGTGCTGTGGGGTGCCGTGATTGCCTTGACGGGTCCTTGCAGCTCGGGCGCCGTGATCGCCCATGCGGCCACCGGCAGCGCCACGGACATGGCGGAGGGCAGCAACAGGTCTCGCATGGTGGCGCTCGTGGAGATCTGGCCGTGAATCCACAACATGGTGGTGGTGACGTCGCCTGCATGCACGTGCTTGAGGAAGGCGGGAGGGAGAAGACAGAGGCAACGAAAAGGGAAAAACGAATCATGGTAGGATTCGAACGCGGACGCGAACTGGTGGCGGAAGCAGTTCCAGCAGCAATAGCAACAGCATCAAAGTTACCTCCATAGAAGCTTTTGCAAGGTCCCCTTCTGCATGTCTGTCCAGACACATACACATACACACACTTTTCTTGCCGGCCAAGTGCAACCCCTTGAGATTAACTTGATTAATAGAAAAGTGATACCGTCCCCGTATACTAAATACCACGGGCTGTATGTGCAAGTAGGTGCATGCACGGAGGTAAGATGTACGGAAGGATGTACGACAAGCCTTATCACCTATGGGTGTCCACGCTCCTCCCGCGTTTGCCGCCACCACCACCGCGGCGCCGAGAAACCTCCTCGTGTCTGTCGGCGGGTGAGACACACACACCAAAAGATATACATACAGATGTACATATGTAAATACGCGGACAGGTACACGGATCAACGGGCAGGAAAACAAAGGTTAGGCAGACATACATGCGGATAAACCAGAGTGTATAGCAGATATGCAGGCAGATGAATAGCTGCACACCATCCCCACAACTTCGACCCACAAACAGATGTTTGTCCCCCATTTAGCTTTTCTCCCACACCTCCAAAGGGGCCCCCATGCAGACACCTGCATCTGGACACAGCTTCTGTAGCAGCGCCACCATCACTATCGTAGTGGTGAGGTTATCCAGGACGCTAGACATGGCGAAGGTGAGGGCGGCCACTGCGAGCAGCAGCTGGGACTTGCTGCCGGGGCGGACCGATTGCGTGATCACCTGCGAGGCGAGAATGGGTGTATGGGGGTAATGGATGGCAGATGGTGGGTCCAACACAAGCAAGTCCGGCGGCGGCAGCTCAGGAAGGCAAGGCACGATTGATAGCGGTAAGGGGAGAGCAAAACTCGCACTCTCGCCTCAAACCCCCCAAATCAACCGACCCCAACCAACTCCAAACCAACCCGCAAGTACAGTATGTCCCACATGGAATTAGACATGGCAAACATACAGACAAACTGGTCTGGTGACACTTCTGCAATCAGCAGCAAAAGGTTCGATTCCTGGGCAGCCCCCGACATTGATCATGGGAGCATTATGTTCACTTGCCGCTGAGGTGTGGAGACGAGGTCTAGTTGGTGGACTAGTTTCACAAGCTGAAATGTCAGCGACGGAGGACCTGTCTCTACGGATGTCGGGTGACTTGATGAGGTGGGTCTAGGTAGCGGGACCCAATAACCGCCGTCGGTTGTACGGTGGAATCAATTTTCAAGTTTATAGTCCACGGCCTTCCGGCTTTGACGGACCCCCCCGCACTCGTGCAGCACTTGTAAACATACATGCATGCGCGCATGGCAGACACACGCACTACACGCATTCACCCGCATGCTGAGAGCCCCCATCCGCGCCCTCACCTTGAACCCCTGATGGGCATCCACCACCTCCACCACCGTCATGGCCCCCAACAGGAAGAATATGACCGCGGACACCTCCCCCAGGGCGCTGCCCATCTCCAGGTCTAGGGCCTAAGAGGGGTGCAGGGAGGGGCGGAGTGGGGCGGAATCAAATGCAAGGAGAAACATGGAAAGGAATGCCGGCGTCCAGAAGGGAAGTGCGGTTGGGTTGGGTTGGGTGGGGTGGGGTAAGCGCGGTGCGATGAAAGGGGTCAGGAGTGGGGAGTGAGCAGCATGAGAGGGACAACTTAGGGGCGCGCGGGGGTGAGGGGGGAAGTTGTTTGGATGTGGGTCGCGGCAAAGTGCGGTCGGGTAACCAGGAACGAAAG